CCCCCCAAAAAAAAAGCAGAACCCAAGAGAAAAGCCTCAAGCTTCACCACCCACAAGTGAAAGTGGAGCTTTTAAATGCTCCAAATGTGGCAAACCTTTCTCTGCCAGAATTGGTAACATCCCCAAGAGCAGAAGCAATACGTTTTATTAACCTTTCATTCTGCTATATCGCTGGAGTACTATTATTCTCCTCGGAAGATGCACTGATCATAACGGGGAGGTAACTCTGCTTTCTCTAGTAAAATTAGTAATTCGTGAGTCGTCTCTCGTCCAGTAAGCACTGCCAAACAGAGTCAGACCTTTGGTCAGACTAGTCTTTTTTCCCGTGGCATCACAACCTTCATTTCTTGTTCTTTTGGGGGTTTTATGTTGCTGTGTTTTGTTTTGTATTGCTTTGCATTTTTTTATTTGTGAGGCAGCGTGGTGGAATCAGGCTCTCGTCAATTTTTGGGCATGTAGAGCTATTGGTATCATCTTAAAGCTTATTCACTTGTCTTTATTTGGATGAAAAAGTATCCATTTATCTTGAATACAAGTCCAGATATTTGCAAAAGAAGGGGGTCACCTGTTTTCAGAGGTAAAATTAGTTAAAAAAACAGCCGCCAAAGATTCGTTATTTCCCTAGCTTAAGAGTCCGTGGTAACTGAAAATTTACATTTTTGTGGCTTTATCAACACTTTTCAGAAAAACCCCCCCACACAGAATTGAGTTCTTGAATGGACATTAAAGGTGTTGAGCCAAAAAACAAAAATTTGATAAAAATTCACAAACCTGTGGAAAAATGCAAGTTTCTTCACTTTGATTATTTTGACGAGAGCCTGATTCCATCACGCTGCCTCACATTTGTTGATTTATTGTTTCTTCCTTATTCTTCTTGTTTTGGCATTTTTTATTTTGGACCATTAAGAAAAAATTTCAAGAAAAATTAAACTTGCACTTTTATGTGTAGATCCTAACGTATTGTGCATACTCCTAGCCCTCAACAACTATTAGCTCCTGACTGTAAGTCACCTAATAAATGTACTGCCATATTCCATTAATTATATCATTTTGTCTTGACCCAATATTACATAACACGATTAGGGTTTTAAAAAAGTAAGGTAAGAAGAGATCTACTGATAAAGCAGCTATGTTTCAGTACAGCTTTGAACACACACCATTCCAAAATGGGGTTGGTCGCCTTGTGGTTCGGCTACTGGACTCGTAATCGTGAGGTTGCGAGTTCGGGGGTTCGAGCCGCGGGCCTGACGTTGTGCTCTTGGGAAAGGCACTATACACGAATTTTCCTCACTTCATCCAGGTGGGAATGGGTACCCGGACATAGACAGTGAAAGATCTTGACAGTATGTTAGTTTTTTTAGGGCCTATAAATGACTGCTTGTACTGTATGCTTCCCAGGAAGTAGAGGTTGTTTCAGAATGCTTTCAGGTCAGAGAGGGAATAATACTGATTGTAGAGCGCAAAGAGCGTGCTGTTTAGCGGGGATTTGTGTTATATAAATGTTATCTATATATCTATTATAATTGT